CACAAGATCCTTGTCCAGCAAAAGGAAAGCGGTGACCACTGGAGTCCCCTTGCATTCAGAGTAAATGACCATTAAAATTCAGACAACTGCCAGAAACTGCCAAAGTTTTGCTGTTACAGGGAGTCACATCCTTCCTTTCTGTCAGAGCCACAGGTCACACCCAGCTGGGACCCACCCACAGCAGCAGCTGATGGCAACCTCAGCCTGCACTCACTGTCTTCAGGGCACCTGGCAAGTAAAACCCAGTTCTGCAGCACCCCAAAACCCCGACCTGCCTGGATGGAGCCCAGGTGTGGGAGTCAGGGCACCCTGCTCACAGCAGCCACCTCTGCTCCCAGCCCTCCCCAGCCCCAGGGAACGCTGCCCTTCCTCCTCCTCCTCCTCCTGCTGAGGGCCACGGAGGCAGCCCAGCCACGCTCAAACTCCTGACCACAAGGAAAGGTACTTTTGCCATTTTTTCCTTCAATCAGCAATGAACTTTCTCTCTCCCAGGGCCCAGCAGTGCCACTGCCAGAGCAGAGCAGCCACCACGTACCCACCCCAGCACCATCCGTCCCTTCCCAGGGCTGCTCTGGGAGCCAGGGGGAGCATGCAGGGGGGCACGGGGGGCACAGGGGCAGTTACCATTGACCGTGTCTGCCGTGCTGCCAAAGGGGTCAGCCAGAGGCAGCAGCTCGGGGAGCAGGAGCGCAGGCTCGGGAGATTTGAGGCCCTCAATCAGTTTTTCTGGGGCAAGCAGGAAAAGGAGGAAAGGAGGCAACAGAGAGAAAAAGCAGAAGGAAGAAGAAGACACGGTTAATGAGGAGCTCAGCTGGCTGTGCTGTGTGTGAGCCCCAGAGCAGCACCTGCACCACAGGTGGGAAGTGGCTCCAGCACAGAACCCCGAGTGCCCTGGGCTGCAGAGGACCTGTGAGAGCCCAGCCACCCCTGCCATGGCAGGGACACCTTCCACGAGCCCCAGGGTCAAGCCTGGCCTTGGACACTGCCAGGGATCCAGGGGCAGCCACAGCTGCTCTCTGCCAGGGCCTCACCAGCCTCACTGTAAAAATTCTCTCTTTGACCTAAAACCCACCTCCTTCAGCTCAACACCACCATCCCCCGTCCCACCAGGCTCTGCCATGAGGTTTGTCCCCCAGAGCCATCAGAGCCACCTAAGAGAGCTGAGGACATCCTCACCCACCATGGGCTCCTCTCCCAAGGAGCCACTGCAGAACAGCCCACAGCTCTGCCACTGCCATAGTTTATAAATATATATATATTACCCATATATAAATATATATAGAAGCACAGAGGGGGATTAAAAAGTGCCCTCTCAGCCCAGCCACACATTGCAGCCTTTGAGATTTGTCAAGTTCCCTGTTCCTCACAGTAAGAAATTCCTGGTTGTTTCCTATCAGAGTAAGGAAAACATCTGCAGAAAGAGCAGAGCAAGAACCTGCAGCTGATGGGTCTTGGAGCATCCCCAAGAGGCTGGTGCTGGTGGCTCCAGAGCCTGGAAAACCAAATCACCTCCTCCAGGAATGAAAGCCTCTCTCCTCTGGTTTGCACCAACACCAGGAGGAGGAGCAGCCACTGAATTAACCCAGGATTTGTGCCTGGGACAGGCAGACAGGCCAGACCCCCCCCGTGCAGGGCTGAGGAGCACAGCTTGGGGCAGTCCAGGAGAGCACCGGCCTGCTCCTCAGAGCCCTTCTGCAGCACATGCACACACCTGACCGAGCTCATGGTCAGTCAGGCTTTGCATCTGCAGCCACAGCGCCAGAGGCTCTGCTGCCATGCTGCTCTCACTGCTGGCCACACACCCAGAAAGCGTTTAGGAAACACCAGAGTTAGGAAAAAACATCAGTCGAGATAACACCAATCAGATCAATACCAAAACCGTCAAATCAAGAGATGAGAGAGGCAAAGGGGCTGGGTTAGAGCAGGCTGTTAGGAAGAACAAGGACTCCTGACAACTTGCGAGTTAAATGGAGCAGAGGGCAGAGCTGTGTGCCAGGTGGGGCACACACAGGCTGGTACTCACTGCAGGGCTGCCCTGGGCAGCACACACAGCTCAGCAGAGCACACAGCAGAGTCCTTTCCTTCGGGGGCCAGCTGGGAGAGAGAGACAGGGCTGTGAAAATCCTGACAGGGAGGGACATCGCCAGCAGGGCAGGGTGGCACTGGCCAGGGCTTCTGCCTGCTGACTGATGAGGTTTTAGCAGCTCAGAACAGCCCTGAGTGCTGCTCAGGCCATGGGATTCCCTGGGCCAGGCCAGGGAACTGCACTGCCACTCTCCTGCAGAAATGGACTGGTTCTCACACAGCAGGGGCAGGAAGAGAAGGGGAATAAAGGCAAAGGGCATCAGGGCTCTGCAAACACCACGGAGCTAGCAGCACAACACTCAACAGCTGTGGATGTGACAGCCTGCTCAGAGACAGAGAAAGCCAGAAAAGCTTTCCCAGAATCAGCCTGGGAGACTTTAGGGAGCTGGAGATAAACAGTGATAGCCAATTATTATAAACAACCTGCAGGTGTTGTTTTTCTAATATCTGTTTTCTTGTTCTTCTCCTAAGATTGATTACAAATGGGCATTTGTTAATGCTTCAACCAGGTGAAATGCGTTGATTCAATGACCAGTCATCTTCCTAATCCTTCAGCCAGGTGAGTGCATTAATTAAATGACCAATCATCTTGCTAATTCTTCAACCAGGTGAAATGCATTGATTCAATGACCAATCAGGCCCACCAGTGTATAAAAGAAGAATTTAGTAAAGACTGAGGCACTTATGCCACTCAGCCTTCTGATGACTCTGGGTCATTTCTTATTAAATAGGGACAAATAGTGGCTCCTTAAGAGAGCAAAACCAAGCAATTTTAGTTTCACGTTCAAGATCTCAAATATTTGTAAAATAGTAAATTCTCCCCCCTACAATCAAGCTCAAAGCCCAGGCAGAAGAACACTGGATGCTCTTTACACTCATTTAGCTGGGATTCTCATGGTCTGCTGGCTTTATTGCTTTAAATCATCACTCCCCCACCTTGTCCTCCCAGTAAATACAGCAATAAATCCATCATTCCCACATGAGCAGTTGCCCTTTTGCATCTTCCCAACTCAAGATGGAAACCCAGACCATTAGTGCACGCCCACAGCTGCTGTGCCTGCCTAATTGTGCATGTGCAATTACTTTATCTCAATGTGTCATCTTGGTGCAAATAAATCCTCAGCAGAAATACAGTTGTTTATCAGAGCTGTTCTGAACACCCAGGCATAGCTGGGCACCCAGTTATCTTCTCAGAATTGATGGGCCTGGAGTAGAGTTATGGTGATTAAAAACATCTCATCGAGTGCTTTATTCCCAAAAAAATAAAATACCCTCCTCCATCAGTCGGAGTGACCCCACAGAGAGTTCCCCTGACCAACACCCAGGATTAGTCAGTGGTGAAGCCTGAAATAAGCTCATTAAGAACAACTTGGCTCTTTTTCCTGCACATACACAAGGAAATATGTTTTCAGCATGAATATTTAATTCTCCCTTATTTTAACAGATGTTTTGCCATATTTTTACATCCCTCTTGCCAGCTCCTCTTCCTAGCTATAATTCCATTAAGAACTGCAGCCATTAGACAGGGGAGGAGGAGGAGGAGGGACACCCACTGCACCTGCACCTCCAGGTGCCAAGGGGAGCAGGTCTGTGGCCTGGGCTGAGCTGCAGCCAGGTGAAAACCTGAGCTCAAATCCAGAAGTTTGATCTTTTCTGTTGAATTTACAGGCAGACAAGCCCTCTTAGTATCAAAGCTAAGGACTGGTGTGTAGCCCTAGGCCTTGAGAATATTCATGAGCTCCTGGCCTCAGGTTTTACTTTAAAAAGAACAAACAAATGGAAATGGCTTTTTTGGGTCCTGCACAGCAGCAGTGAGCCAGAGCCTGGGCTAGGAACAAGGATGGGACTGCAGCTGTGCTCTGGGGCTCACTGACGTGGGACCTGCCACACACTCACCAGAGGGCTGAGAGAGGCTCCGAGATAAAAACATCCCCAGATTCCAAATCCCACCGATTTGCAAATAAGCTCCTAAGCACTTACATAATCTTGTGCTAAAAAGTGTTGGCTGCTGCAGTCAGGAATGTGCACAGAAAAGGCTTAGAAGCAGCACTGCAAAGTAAATGAAATAGCACCAACTGCACTGGAAAACCTTGCCAAATCAGAAAAGGTCACATGTAACTTGTGCTTCACAAGATGCTCACATTTGCAACAGACTTTGGAAGCCAAAGAAACACTGACTCTTAGAGGAAAAAAAGATTAAAAATAATAAAACCCACAATTTCAAGGTTGGAGGCCATTGGAAAACAGCTTAAGTCAGAACAGGTAATTAATCACTTGGGGATTATTTCTCACAGGATCTTGGAATGGTTTGTGTTGGGAGGGACCTTAAAGCCCATTCCATCCCACCCCTGCCATGGCAGGGACACCTCCCACCCTCCCAGGCTGCTCCAAACCCTGTCCAGCCTGGCCTTGGGCAGTGCCAGGGATCCAGGGGCAGCCACAGCTGCTCTGGGCACCTGTGCCAGGGCCTGCCCACCCTCAGGGAACAATTCCCAATTCCCAGTATCCCACCCAGCCCTGCCCTCTGGCAGTGGGAGCCATTCCCTGTGTCCTGTCCCTCCATGCCTTGTCTCCAGTCCCTCTCCAGCTCTCCTGGAGCCCCTTTAGGCCCTGTAAGGGGCTCTGAGCTCTCCCTGGAGCCTTCTCTGCTCCAGACTGAACAACTCCAGCTTTCCCTCCTAGGAGAGGTGCTCCAGCCCTCCCATCACTTTTGGCTTGGCATGCTCAGCCTCCAAAGACACCCACCTGCATTTCTGGCATTAGGAACAAAGATTGAACCCCAGGCCCTGCCCTAAACGCCATCCCCACTGCCAGTGAGCCCTGCAGAGCCTGGCAGTGCCCAGGAGTGCCTGAACAGCAGCAGGAGACTGAGAGGCCAAAACAAAGGCCAGGACTGCCCCCTCAGCCCGGGTTACCTGGGGTGTCGGATAACGGGAGAGGGATGAAAGGATCAGGCACAGTCAGAAGAGCAGGGCTAGAGTCCAAACTCAGAATGTCTTTCGTTTTTTCTGCTGGTAGAGAAGAAGAGAGGAAAAGAAAAGAAAAGGTAGAGTGAACAGAGAAGAGGAGAAAGCACAGAGCAAAACCCCAGCACAGGCAGAGCCTCAGCTGTGGCCTAACACAACCACTTTTCAGTGTGCTACTAAAAAGAACAAAAACCCAAACAAAACCACTGTTACCGTGCAGCTCTCCAACACTATTTGACCCACAATCTCAGAACATTCCCTGGCAGGGAAGAGCTGTTATCTGCCTTCACAGCAGCACAAAAGGTGAAAGGCTTCACAGAGGACACGCAGCCCGTTTGTCTGCAATAAAATCTGCAGCACTGTGCACCAGCCAGGCTGGGACAGGCTCCTGTCCCTGAGGAAAGAAAGAGAAGGGCTGGAAGTGGCCAGCCCAGCACCAAGATTCCCAAAATACCTTCCCACGCCAAGGCCCAGGACTGGGAAGTCAAGGGGCACATTTTGAAGACAGACACTGCAGGAACTGACCATGGCAGAGCAACCCCAGAGCCCAGGGCACACAGATGCTCCTCAGGCTTTGCAGAAGGTGCTTCACAGCTCAACGTGGAGCTGCTGCTGCTCAGCATCATCCACAAAGGCTGACGGAACACCAGAAACTGCTCACAGCTGGACAAACTCAGAAAGCAACTCCCCAGGAACACTCAGGGACCTCAACTCCTTAATTCTCCAGCAAGGACCAACATACCAGGCTCAGTTATAAGCTCCCCTAAATCTCCTTTTATAAATAGAAATAAGCACAAATGGATTTGTCACTCCTTGCCCCACAAAGCATTCTTCAGCCTCTTCCCAGACTCCTCTGACCAAGAGTTGTTGTGTTTCAGTGGGGAGGCATCAGCCAGGAGCATCTGTCACCAGGGGGAGGATCCCTGGCTCCTGGAGCTCCTGGAAGCAGCTTTCCACCTCTGTGCTTGGCAGGTCTGAGCTGCCCACAGCGAGAACTGATGCTGAAGGAGTGGAAATGAGCAGCAGCATAGAAGGGTTTTTGGCATAGAAGGGGCTGCTCACAGCAAAACCTTGGGACACAAGGACCAAAGGAGAACCAGACACGGTCCCACAGGCAGAGAAACTCCTCAGACCAGCCACGTTGGAGCCACACAGGTTTTACTCCTTGTTATGAGCTCCATGGAACTTCCACACACTAAGAAGATTCCTTGGGAATTCCTTGGGAACTCAGGGCTCAGTTTCTTCCCCCACCACAAGCACACCCCACCTCTGCCTCCACACAGTGTCCTGTCTCTGCCACCCAGCTGTGACATTCCCTCCTCTCCTCAAGTGCCAGCCCTATTCCCTGCGGCTCTCAGTGCCTGTGCAGCTTCGTTTGTGCCAGTTTTCCTTCCCTTCCAAAGGGACTCTGGCCAGGAGCTGCCCTCCCATGCTGTCCATGCTCCCAGACTCACCTGGCCCAGCAGGGAAGGAGGAGCCACCGAAGGCATCCGCCGGGGCCGCGGGCGCAGCGGGCTGGAAACCTGGGATCAGGTTCTCTGTGGAGCTGCCTGCCTTTTCTGGAGCTTTCCCTGGAATGCAGGCCCAGAGTTAGGGGCAGATCTTCTATTCTGAAAGCAGGCTGCTCATTTGTATTTTTAGGACACTGTTCCAACTAGGTGACTTAAGGCCCTTGCTGCAAATCCCAATTTACAGATGAAGCAGAGTTTAAACTGCAGCTGCCACAGACCCCTGAGCAGGGGCACTGTCAAACAGCTGGTACCTCTGCCTTGGAGGCAGAACTGCAATCAGAAAGAACCTGGGAGGGTTTAGCCAGAGGACTGTAATAACACAGGGCACCCGAGCAGCCCCTGCCCAAAAGCACCCACGGCACCTTCCCTTGCAGAGCAGGCAGGGTCACAGCACCCCGTGCACCTACCATCCCCCAGCTTTGCAAAGTCCTTGTTCAGCAGCTCCTCGGCTGTCAGCTTGGAGAAGTTGTCATCATCAAAGGGGTTCCACGTGGACATGTCGGGGGGGTTGTAGACATTCTGCTGCGAGGTCCTTGGCGAGCCCGAGGGCGTGGTGGAAGCAGATCTGGATGGGATCACCCCAAACAAGAGCCGTTAACCACCCACCTGAAACCCCCTGGCCAGCACCATCAGCTGCTCCAAGCCACTACACTCTAATGACTTCCCAATTAAAACATCCAGGGGAAGTTACTGCAGTCCCATGCTCAGAAGCCTGGGAGCACTGAGGCTGAGGACCCACATCTCAGGGGTTAAAACCAACAGCCAAAAGGCTTTTTGCCTGTAGACACTGACAAAGAGACCTAGAAAATACTCCTAGGCAATCAAAGCTCCATTAAGATCTCCAAGACCATCCAGTCCAACCTTCAGGAAGCGCTGCTGTTAAGCACACCAGGGCTGTGGCTGAAATGACACCGCCTTTTGTGAGCCAGAGAAGGCCCTGGTCACCTCAAACAACATCAGGACTTCGGGGCAAATTTTCCAGCACTTCCTGCCAAGCCCTAAACTGAGGTCTTGAAGGCAAAGACTCACTCAGAGTTTTGTGCCTACCTGCATTCAGAGCTTTGCATCCAACACCTCCCAGAGCCTGACCCAGCCCTCGCTCACACCCCACACAGGGGCCCTGGCACTACTTGGCCTTGCCAAGGCTGACCCCCCAGGCCCTGGCACCTACTTGGACTTGTTGAGGCTGGCCTCGGCGGCGGCAGCCTGCAGCAGCTGGGTGGATTTGCTGGCGGGCACGCCGAACACGGCGCTGTGGGTGACGTCGCTGAGGATGCGGCGGTGCCCCGCGCGCTGCGCCTTGGGCGAGGACGGCGGCGTGAGGGAGCCCAGCTTCTGCCCCTGTGCCTGCTGCTGCCTCTGAGCCTGCACCTGCGCCTGCCAGGGGAGGAAAGCACAGTGACCTTGCTCAGAATGGCAGCCACAGGGAGAAAACAGCTCCTGATGGAGCACCCAGCGTCCCAGCTGTGGACTGGGAGAGAAAACAGCACCCAGCATTCCAGTCATGGACTGGGGACAGTCTGGAGGGGAAAAGCCAAACACAACAAATGTGGCAGGGGGATTTGCTGCTCTGCAGCGTTTCAGGATTACAGCACGGGCAGAGAGTCTCTCCCCTTTCTGTGGTGCAGCTCTGGAGGTAAAACCTCCATTAGGACTTGGCAAAAGCTGGCTGGGCTCAAACCTGCTCAGGGGTAGAGAGGCTGAGATCCAGAGCAGAGGTGGAAAGAACTCAGATCAGCACTCAGGAGCTGGCAGAGGAGCATTTGTACCCAAGTCCCAGAGCCCCAAGGTCTCACCCCCTGCTCCTGTGGCTGCGCCGGCGGTGCCGTGCCAGGCTGGGCCTGGGGCTGCTGCTTCTGCTGAGCTGCTGCTGCTGCTGCTGTGGTCTTCTGCTGCATAGCTGCCTGCTGGGCCAGCAGCTGCTGCTGCTGCTGCTGCTGGTAGTAGTTCTGCATCAGCTGCTGCTGCTGCGCGGGCGCTCCTTGCTGCACCACTGGGAACTGGGAAACAAGAGGTTGGAGGTGTGGTGGACCTAGACCAAGTCCTGCTGGAGGACACACAGGAAATGCCTAAAAGCTGCACCCATTCCCCCCAAAAGAGCAGGAACTTGCCATAAACACAAAGGTACAGCCCTGCAGACACAGATGTGATGAACCCAGCACCCACACCCACCTGCTGTGCCTGCATCATCTGCTGCTGCTGCTGCTGCTGGAAGTAGGCAGCCTGCTGCTGCTGCTGCTGCTGCTGCAGGAGCTGCTGCTTCAGGAAAAGCTGCTGCTGATGCTGAGGGGTGGCCTGGGGCTGTGCCGAGGGGGCCTGGGGCGGTGCCTGGGGCGCTGCTGCCGGCTTGGCCTGGGGCTGGGCTGGAGGCTGCTGGGGGGCTGCTTTTGGCTGGGGGGTGCTGGCAGGGAGCGAGGGCTGGGCACTGCCCAGGGCAGCCGCGCCTGCAGCTGGGACGAGAAGCCAAAGGCAGGTTAGGTCACTGCCTGAGGCACACGGGGCAGTGGGGGCACACAGACACTCGCTCACCCTGCGGCTGAATGGCTGCCTGGGCTGTGGCTCTCTTCCTGGGCGTCAGGGCTGGCTGGATGGGCAGAATTCCAGGGTTGGGCTGGGTCTGTCCTGCTTTAGGTCGCTGGCGGGGTGCTATGGACGTTTCTGTGGTAGGGATGGGGTCTGTGAGCCTGTTGAGGAAGGAGGAGAAGGAAGGGCAGTGAGCACGGCCTGTGAGCTGGGCAGCTGGTGCACAGAACACACAGCAGGGGTAAACACTCACCCACACCTCAGCTGGGTGTGCCTGACAGAAGTGACACGCTCACGGGCACCCAGGCACAGTAAAACCTCCTGCATGCATTCACAACAATTAACCCAACACCATCCTTCTGACTCCTCTGCCAGTCGTGGCATCCTCTCCTGGTGGACAGCTGGGACTTGTCAAAACCACTCAACTTATACCCAACTATTTCCTACAACATATTGCTTGAAACCACTCAGACTTCTGAATGAGCACATGAAGGACACAAATCAGCTCGTGAGCAGCTGGTACCTTTGGGCAGAGTTGTCTAAACTGCCGTCTTTGGATGCACTTTAACTTTGGTACATGCACCCCAGAATCAGGTCACTGAACTCTCTGCTCAATGTTTACTGAGCTCCAAAAATGCACAGCAAGAGAGAGGAGCAGCTATGCCCCCAGCCTTCTGTGGTTTGTAGATACCAAATTGTTCTTGATAACTAATGAACCTGATATCAGATCGTTTCTGAGTCAGGGACAATAACTGTGCTCAGTCACCACTTGGCAGCTGAAGTCCCAAGGAAGCAGCTAAATAATAACACCTTTTCTAATAAACAGCAGAGACAACAGGCAACAAAAGGGGGAGGAAAAAGCAGGTGGGGTTACCTGGCCTTTGGTTGACTCTTCTTTGCAGCAGCTTCACTTGCTTTAACTGGGTCTGGGAGTTTAGCAGGGATTGGAGAGTTCTGCAGATCCCAAAAATGCCCAGTTTGGTATTCCGAGGGCAGAAAACAGAGTCAGAAATAATGTGCAAAAACATCACAATAAAACAGGGAGATCTGGGCACCCCCAAAACAATTATTCCTCATGTGGACACATAACACCACAAGGTTCATGCCATGGGGAGACAGGAGTTTGGGAGAGTCTTTACAAAGAAGAAAAGAGGGCTCAGCTTTTTGACCACTGAGCATGGAATATGAACATAAAGCTCCACAGCACAATTTTTTAAAAGACAACCAGGGGACAGTAGTGACAAAATTTATTAATGATGCTATAAAAACACAGGCATAATAGAACCCAAACTATCTCTTATTCATAAAGACCATAAATCATCACCTGAACGTGAGGAAGAAAAAGCCCTAAGTTTCTATTTATGTAGAAACAACAAAATAAAATGTCTGTCACAGTGTTCATAACAACGTAAGAAAATAATTGTCAACTCCATTTTGCAGATGAAGTCTCTGAAGAGACACCAAGAAGGGGCAGATGGCTGTGCAGGGTCTGATGCAGTTCAGATGCCAAGTCCCAGCCAACAGGCCCCGAACTGCTGTGCTCAAACCCAAGTGCAGGCCAAATTACACATGCTATGATGAGCCTGCCTGGAAATCAAATTTCCCAAGCATGGCCTAATTTCCCATGTTCACATGCATGAGATCTCTTGGTTGGCCTCACACTGGTGACTGGGTGAGGAGGTAAATCAGGGACAAACAGAACGAGAAACTCTGATTTCTGACCCAAAAAATCCAAGCCAAACCGTGCTGTTACAAACAAGACCCTGCTAATTACAGGACTGGGGAACAACCAAGAGGACAGAGGTAAATGCTCAGAATTCAGCAGCTCCCAGAGCCCCCTCAGACCACCCCTCTGCTCACCTGGACGTTCTGCACCGGGCAGTCCTTCTTGGCCAGTTTGAATGCAAAGTAGGACACCTGATAAATGTCAGGCCTCTTATCAGGGTCTGGCTCGAGCATGTAGCCTGGAAGAGATGGAGATGCTGAGGTCAGAGCAGCAGGACACACAGACGCAGGGCAGCACATCACACTTGATCCGACAAAGGACTTTTCTGTGCTGAGGGTGGGGAGCCCTGGCACAGGGTGCCCAGATTTGCCGTGGCTGCTCCTGGAGCTCTGGGAGTGTTCAAGGCCAGGTTGGAGCAGCCTGGGACAGTGGGAGGTGTCCCTGCCATGGCAGGAGTGGGATGGGATGGGATTTAAGGTCCCTCCAACCCAACCAATGTTGCCTGGCCAGGGAACAGCACCGGGTGGGACTGGGCACTTCAGGTGAACCCACAGGAAAAGGGTTGATCCAGGCCTGGTGTGCCAGCAGGGCAGGGGGACAGGGCAGCCACAGGCACCACTGCAGACAGCAAAGAAAATACCAGCCTGCTCTGCAAACACATCCAACTCTGTGTGAGTCAAGACTGTGGCTAGGGAAAGGGAAAAAAATCAAAGGCTGTGCTGGAAACAAGAGAGCTGCCCCAGCTTTGCCAAGAGTAGTGCATTGTACACTTAATTACACATTCGCTCTAGTCACTGGGATATTTATAAATCATTTCAGTTCTGCTTCCCAGTTCACAGGAGATGAATTCTTATCACTAGCCTAAGTCACTGTGGTCTTTTCAGTTCCTTATCCAAACAGATTTATTACAGCAGAAATACGTTTCTGCATAAATAGCCTTATTGTCAAGCCCCTGTAGGACCCAAAGCAAGGCTGTGTGTGCCCCTGCCCTTGCACAGAGCTGCCTCCAGCCTGGCCAAACAGAAACCTCTTTGTGCAGACTGTCAGCAGCAGGAGATCACTCCCAGCCCTCCGTGAGCAGCAGCCCTGGAAGGAGAGGAGCTGCTGCCCTGCAGGGCTGCAGGAGCAGAGCCCCGGCAGACTCACGGATGAGGCAGTGCATGTCCTGCGAGTGCCGCGAGTTGTCCGGGATGGTGAAGTTGCCGTCACAAATGGCCACCTGGCTCTCCCCAAAGGGCAAGGTGAAGTAGCACAGCTTGTACAGCAAACAGCCCAGGGCCTGCAGGGAGAGAGAGAACAGGGACTGACCATGCTGAAACCACCCTGGGCTCCTGCTGGTGCCAGGCCTGCCCCAGCACCCCGTGAGGGACCTGGGACAGGCACAGCTGCAGGGCAGGATGAACATGCACGGCTCTCCCTCGTCAGACTGATCTGGGGGACTGCTCATCATCACAACACCTGCGTGTCACTGAGCAGGAAAAGCCCTTCTGCCACACTCTGGGAGGAAAGAGCAAAGCAATAGCACAACTAAATGGCAACCATCATCATTAATACATCCATTCTGACAAAGAGAAACCCAAACTGTTTCCAAGATTAAGTCCAAACAACCTTTCAACTGCTGTAAATAAATGCCAGGGAAGCACAGCTCATTCTGCAGGCTGCCAGGTTCTGCCACCCTTCTTTTGGCACCAAGAACCACCACCTCTTGCAAAAGAAAACAGTTTTTGCACAAAGGGCTAATTATGAAACACTCCCACAGGAAACATTTCCTAATCCTAAGAAACTCATCGTCAGCTCACCCCTTTTGTCACAGGATTTCACAAAGAAATTGCACGCTGGCTTCAAATAACCTTGGTAAGATTTCAGGGAAAGGGAGGTTCCAGCAGGACAAGCACTGGGGCAGGCCTGCAGGCTGAGGCCACACTGCAGCTGACCCACAGCAGCTGCTGCTTCCCCAGCCAACGGAGGGGACTTTCAGATGTCACACCAACAATTCTCCCTCTTGTAGATGCAGAACTACTGAACATACATCAAAACTCTCTTTTTCTGCTTCTACCATGTTACCTCCTAGCTCAGGGCTCCAAAATAACCCAAAACATGCTCCCAGCTAGCATTTTAAACACTTTTAAACACGTGCTGACCTGCCACTCCAGACAGCACAGACTCCTTCTCACCTCTGTCCCACCCAAAGGAGACCAGGTTAGCCAGGAATGGATTCCACCACAGCTGGATCTTGTTCCCACCATGAAGCAAGAGCATGGCAGGATTGCCCTGATCACCAGAAACAGTGCAGAAGTTTGACAACTCAGCCCTGTGTTCCACAGGATCAGCACACTGCTGCTGCTGGGGCAGGGCCATTTTCTCAGCTTTCTACTCAATTCTGACCAGAACTTTGATTCCACATACCAACAACCCAGCCCAGGCACAACCAGCCACAACAGCCTGAATTTTCTGATTTATCTCTTATGATAGAAAATCTCATTTTCCCCATTCAACCCTGGAGTTTCATCCATCTCCAAATTCAAACCACGCAGGAGGAGCACACAGTCTGCTCCAGCAGCCTCCCTGCTCAGCAGGAACTCATCAGACACATGCCCAGAGGAATTCTGCACTCAGAAACTGTCCAGGCTCCCAGAGAACGAGGCCAGCCCCGTTTCCCTGCCGTGGCAATGAAAGCATGCCCAGGGCTTGCCATACGTACCCAAATGTCAGCTTTTGTAGTGATGAGTTTGCCACTGTACAGGTTCACCATCTCTGGTGCTCTGTAGGACAACGTCGTGTACCTGCAGGGGAAGGTGGAGCAGGGACTTCAAAAGGGGCATATCAGGTATGTCACATTCCCAAATAACTCAAAATTCACTCTTTCCCTGCTCATTTTAAGGAAAGGGATGCTAAAGGTATCTATTGGAAAAATCTTCTATACACCTCAAACAATAAAACACCTTCAAACTGCCCTGGGAAGCCAAAATAATAACCACAAGCCTCTCTAAAGCACAGAATTGACCACAAAACTGCGCAGTCATTTTAAAAACAGAAACATTCAAGATTTAAAGCATTAACAAGGTCAGTCATCAAATGTCCTCTGCAATGCCCTCACTGCAGGGCTGTGGCCAACTGTATTACAGAGATTGTAATTGGATATGTGGTCCTAAAAAGTACATTTCCACACCAGGAGTCCTGCTCAGAGCCACTCTGGCAAGGGATGGGTCACTGTGTGCCTCAAACCAGCGAGAATCTACCTCATCTTAACAGATCACAACAAACAGAAAAGCTGGGAACTGCTCCACAGATTATGAGGCTGTTCTGATAAGATTTCCTGCCAGCAGGTCTGTCATTGCTGCCTGCTGCTCACCCTGATCACTGCCAAAGGCAAAGGTTTTGTAGGCTGAAGTGTACAAGTAGGGCACTCCAAGGGGACTGCAACTGAAAACTCCAGCCAAACAAACCAGGAAATCCAGGCGGGTGTAGCTGAATCCCAGCGAAAAACAGGCATCTGTAGCCATTCCTAATAACAGGAGTGGCCAGTCTGCAGCAGCGACGCTGTCAGAGCTAAAGCAAGGCCAAGGACAGTGTGCTCCAGCCCTGACCAGGGCTCACTGACCTGAACCCCTTTTAAAAAGCACCAAGGGGCACCAGAGGTGCTGCCAGGACAGCTGGCAGTGCGTGGGGCAGGAGGAGGAGCTGGACTGAGCCCTCCAGGAGCTGGCACTCCCCATGCAGAGCTGGGATCACCCCAGTCAGTGCCTGGATCCGTGGGGAGGGGAGCTCAGCCAGGATGGGATTGTGCCACCCCAGCCTGGAGCTCAGAGGAGCCAAGACAGATGAAGGACAGAGCCAGCCTGACCCTGCACAGGACAGAACAGGTCACTGCCTCGCCGAGGCGGGGCTGCTTCTCTGCATTAATCTCAGGTCCAAAGCAATTACATCAAGCTCAATTTATTGTTTCACCTTCCCCCAGGCACTCATTCACCTGCAGCAGACACTGCCATGCAGCACAGCCAATCTGCTGCAACAGGCTGAGCAAAAGGAACCCCAGCACAGGAGAAAATTACCCTTCAAACACAAACACAGCAGAGCTGAAAAGGCAAAGCACACTTACTTCTTGATCTCCTCCTCGACTGCGTTCACCCCCTCTGTTTGAGGGTTCTGGAATTTGTTGGTAGCACTCCCAAAGTCACACAGGACGTAGTGGCCACGGTCATGCAGCAGGATGTTTTCAACCTGGGAGCAGCACAGACAGACACAGAATCACTCAGACAAAAAACTATTCAGGGTTTGGTTTTTTTTCAGATGAGTCAAGGCTTTAAGTGCCTGAAGACATATCAGACACATCTGACACTAAAGCTTAAAGTGACAGCAAAGAAAACAGGCATCAAAACTGTCACGTCTCCTAAAATAGACATCAAGTCATGTAACACTGCCTTCCATCCTGCCACCCCTCCCTTCTCCTCCTGCAAGCACATTTCCTTGCCTCTTGTAAGACTTCAGCGTCCCAGTGCCTTGGGGCTCAACCTTCCTGAGCTACTGTGGCCCTGGTCTGGCCTCTGAATTGGGGACAGGAAATCCAAGTTGTCCCAGCTTTACCAAGGGCTCTAACTCCTCACAGTCTATGGGGCAGAGGGGAGGCAAACATATGACACACACACTTCCGTATTGATGAAATTAAAACACATCTCCAGGTCTTTGTCTGCCTCTTACCCGTCCCTGAGGGTCTCGCTGAAAACAAACCTCAGCTCATGCTCACATTTATTTGCTTGTTCTCAGAGCCTGCTGGGTGCCCCACAGTCCCCAAACAGGGCTGCAGCAGCAGAGGCTCCCCCAGGCTGCTGAGAAGACCCCCTTTCATTCAAATATGATTTGGCACCTTCAACCAGGCAACAGAAACAAATAAAATCAGCAGAAACCTTCTGCTCCATACTCACAACTGTGCATTAACAAAACTCTACCTTGCACCCACCTAAGGAAATTGCCTGTTCCAACACTGACTCTAAATGTGTGAAACCCTGCGTTCAGATCTTTGCTTTGGCAGAGCATCCCCGTGTTCCAGCTCCTCATCTGTGCAGCAGCACTAACAGCATGTTCTCTCGAGGGAACACACCATTTTTCATATCTTTATCTTCAATCAGTGTCAAACGCTCAGATACAACAACGAGATAAAACACACTGCTCATAGAGCTCAAAATAAATAAAAAAATCACCACGTAAGCGTTTGCTAACAAAACCCTTTGGAAGCAGAGCTCCCCATCAAGGATGATCTCTACAAGAAGGAAATAAATACAAGGAGTCAGCATTTTAAGCATCAGAAAATGCAGCCAAATTAGAGCAGCTGAGGGGGAGAAGGTTGGCTTGAAACCAAGGGTTAAACACGCCCCTTCCCCCGTGCCATCCATCTGCTTTGAATAAAGCACTGCACACAGATGTTCTCCCCAGCAGACCAGCACTGGCTGTGTTATTCCCTGCTCCTTGCAAACACTCCTCCAACATTTCCCAAGAGTCCTCCCCCTTTACCTGCCTGAGAAGTCTGAGGTGATTTCTCACTCAAACACCCTGAAAGGTTTGTTAGACATCAGCACAGGACTATCCAGCAACCAGGTTTGACCAGAGAATGCCAGGAGAAGGAAAAGTAAACACAGCAAAAGAAATTCCTGCTACACACTGCCAGGCCAGAGAAAAGTGTCTTTAAAAGGAGGATGAAGGTGTCTTCTGCTGGTCAGACACTCAGAAAGCTGCACCCAGCCCTGAGCACAGGCAGGGGCGACACAGGAGCTAACTCACAGAGCCATGTCCCCTTTGCCCACAGAAATGCTGGTAAAGCTGCTGCTGTCCCCAGCTGTTGGCCACTTCCCACCAGCTGGAGACTGTGCCAGCAGGAGGCTGCTCTGCTTCAGGCAAAGCCTTTGGGTTAATTCAAACTCAGAGCCAGGGGCCAGTGCAGCTCCTCCAGCTGCACTTGTCTGAAGGCTCATTCACAGCCTCCCTTCTGCTGGCACAGCTCTCTGGGCAGGAATCTCCAGCACCAGAGCAGCATCAAAGAGCTGGAAGGCAAAAAAAGCCTCCAAGTCCCCAGCTGCCTGCAAAGCCAACATCAGCCTCCTCTTCAGCAGTGTGATATTCACCCCAAAAAAAACATTTACATGTCCCTCCTTACACCCAAAACTTGTACTAAACTTCTCTGGTCCTTAATCTCTCTTGGCTTTGCAACTGCACCTTGACAGTATTACATTTTAACACAAATGAAGTCAAAATATATATAAATATTCATTCTGTGTTAGTGCTGAGATCCCCAGTGTTGAATCAGGGAGACACCCCAGAGGTCACCATGACAGAAACAATACAGTACTCAAGCAGAAAACACGTCTCCAAGCAGAGAAGAGCCAACCCCGACTCTGGGCACAGCTCACCAAGAGTCAGGCCTTGCAAAACGTGCCCTGGCCTAGGCAGGCAGCCGGGGGCTGGACACCAAGAGCCCCAAGAGCCCATTTCAACTGCAGCTCAGGCAGAAAGCAACACTCCAGATCTACTCACTAACCCAGCACAGATGGCCCAGATTTATTCCCCTGCAACACACCGAGTTTGTTCTGCATTAAACTGCCCAGGTAAGGGCAGGGTTAATGTCAGCTGGGGAGGTTCCTGGCCCTCACCCTGTTTTCCTGACCTGGACAAACTCCTGCAAGCTGCCCACAGACCTTACAGCCTTAAACCAGGACTCAGATTGGTAAGAGATCACCTTTTTTCCCCCTGGGAAGAGACACTGGAGCTGTTCCTGTACCCAAACTGACTGAGCAGGGACATCACTGTCATTTCAAACATGCCACAGCACACCAAACCCTGAGGATGTTTTCCTCTGCTGTTTTCCTACCTGGCTCTCCTTGGTACACGTGGTGTGTAAAACAATGGCCAGTGGCACAAACAAACATCTGTGAGGGCTCTGAAAATAGAACCTGCCCCACAAAGCACATCTGAATTTCAAATGCACACAGCAGCCTCCTTCTTGGCTGAGTATTTCATTCCAGCTCGTTGAGAGCAAAGGGAACATCTTTTTGTTTGCTGGATTACAGGCAGGGGATTTTCCCCAAGCTGGCCCAGCTAAGCACACAGAGTTTTGCAACAGCTTTCATGGTCAGAGCTCCAGAGGCCACTTTCAAAAGCTCCTAAGGATTCCTGCCCCAAGGCCAACACTTCTGGAGCGCTTCTTTTGATCTGGAAACAATTTTGTGAGCTACCTTAAATAAGCAGTGTTTCAGGTCACTGTGAATAATTCATCAGGTACATTCTGGCACACGTGCAAGCCACAATTATTCACAAACATTTGTGTTTAAGTAGATCTATAGATGGCAAACATATGGTAAGCAGCACTGAGAGGCTAATTTCTTTTTTTATCTTCCAGCAGAGAGGTGTGTTTATGCCCACTTTCCCTCATCAGCAGCAGGAGAAGCGCAGCGTGGGCAGCTGGCAGACAGGCAGGAGGATGCTGCCTGCAGCCCTGGGGCAGAGCTCACCTTCAGGTCCCTGTGGATGATGGGGGTCTTGCACTGGTGCAGCCGGGCCACGGCCTCGCAGGTGTCGCAGAAGATCTGCAGGACCTCGCTCTCGGTGAAGCCGGTCTGCAGGCGCTGGTTCATCAGGTTCACCACCTGTCCCCCTGCAGGGCAAGCAGCAGGGACCGTGAGCCGGGGGTGCCGAAATCACAGCAGGGACGGTGAGCTCTGGGGTCCCCAAACCACAGCAGGGACCGTGAGCTGGGGGTGCCGAAATCACAGCTGGGACACTGAGCTGGGGGTCCCCAAATCACGGCAGGGACAGTGAGCTCTGGGGTCCCCAGTAACAGCAGGACACTGAGCTCTGGACTAATTTTCTTTTTTTTCTTCCAAATAGGACTTCTTTTGTCTGACCAGAGGAATAAAAGGCTGGATTTGGGGCACCCACAGTCCACAGATTAGTCTGCCACATGTAAGCAAGAGCAGGGAGGAAGGGGGACACTCACAAAACCCACACGTTAAGTGGCTTGGCTGAAGCTGTTGACTGCAAAGAATTAAAAATCCATCTGTAACAAGGGAAACTCTGGACAAACAAAACAAGTTTTCATTTATGAGTCCTGAATTTATCTCAGCTTTGGGGTTTTGTTGCTGTCAAAGCCTTTCCAAAACAATCCTGAGGGTTTTTTCTCCTCTAAATGCCCTAGACAGACAGAGAAAAACTCTTTCCTGAAGCTCTGGTGAAGCAGTACTGCATCATTCCACATCACAAGTGCTGGAAAACTTTCGTGGTAGGAAAGAAAAGCTCAGTTTAATGAATACTACAGCTGTGAACATTTTACACCCAAAATGAATGCAGTTCTGCACACAAAGGCACTGATTTGGTTTGGAAACTGTCAGCCACAAAAGGAAAGTAACAAGGGAAAATCAGTGTGTAACAACCATTGCAAGGGGAAGGCTGCACAGCATCTGGCAAGAGCCACGTGAGAAAAGCCACCTCCTTCCAGATGGAAGGAAGCTCCTCAGAAAGATGGATTTTACTTCATCAGCCCAAAATGTGGGTTCTGCAGCTGGGGGGGTGCCTGTGAAGAGCTGGGGTTTGTGCCTCCCTCCACAGCGGGCTCTGCACACGGGGCTGAGCAGGGATTTGCCAGCCTCGTGCTGACAGCAGCTCTGGTCATGCTCAGCTTGAAGCTTAAAGAGAGCTTATGGAGTGATTCCTTCAGCCAAACTGCACAGAGCTCCTGCTCCCACCAGCAAACAGCCGGGGCAAGGCAGGCCAGACCCTGCAGCACAACAGAGCAGCAGAGGATGTGGCAGAACACGAGCCTGCACTGGGCCTGATTACACACAATTACATGTGTGTAAATGCTGCAATGCTTTTGAGCTCAAAGCCAGACAGACCCAGAAATACCCATTTCCATCAGCTGCCACCATCCACAGCAGCCACAGGCTCCTGAAGTCACCTGACCAAAACATTATTTTTGCTGAACATTCTTCGGCAAGAAGACAGAATTTGAGCCCAGCACATGCATCATGTTCCAAACATTACATCCCAGCCACAAAGATCAAAGCTTTGGGACAGCTGGAAGAGCCTGTCTGGCTACAGACAGCCAAGCAAAAAGGTCAGAGGTAACAGGAATGCTTTTTGGCTTCCTATTATCCACGCCTTGCTTCTTCCAGAACAATCCTAAGCCAGGCTGATGTGGAACAAAGCTTGCAATGAGACTAAGGTGAAGAAAAATTACATTCCTGGCTGCTTTAAAAGGAGCCACTTCTTGTGTGGACCATTCTAAAGACAACAGCAAGATGTATTTAAGGGTTCTCCTTCACAACAGAGGGGACCCAGGACCACCCTGGGCAGCAGCAAGGATAGTACCAATCCCATCAGCAGAGTCAACACAGCCCACTTCTCCAGCCCCAGCCCTGGCTTTGCTGAGCTCAGAACAGCCTCCTGGCAGCTTAGGGACAGCTCTTTTTCAAAAGGAAGATGTGCAAGTTCCCTATAAGCACGGAAGGACAAACCCAGCCATGAGCAGCCCCACACAGCCCCACTCACCCCGGCAGAAGTCCATGAGGATCAGCACTTCCCACACGTCCCCGCTGCTGACTGAGTTGATGCTGGAGTCGATGTAGCCCACAATGTTCTTGTGGCCAGACAGATCCCGCTGCAAGACAGACAAATTCACACATGCACCAGCCACGTTCACACATGCACCAGCCCAATCCATGCCATGGACCAGCCCAATCCATGCCATGGACCCTCCTCACCCTCACTTTCCATGAGCCACCATTCCCCAGGCACCAAAGACAGGGAGACAAGAGAATACAGCAGCAAGTGCAACCCAAGTAAACAAGCTTTGTGAGCACAGCTAAACCTTTGATGTAAGATCTAATCTCATCTTTTCCCATGTAGCCCAAAGCTTCCCTGCACTATCACAAACTACAGCAGTTCACTTAAAAGGTATTAACCTAATTTAAAGCTACTGCAGAAATCACACACAGAATTGCTACAGGTAGGAGTTTCTGATATGAACATCATCCACCCCAAACCTGTACCTTGTGTGGCAAACTCACAAAATGAGGATTTTGTGAATTCCCCACCTGGCAGCTGCTCTAAACTCTCATCAGTATCTCTGAATACAACTTCAAAAGTGGCACTTCCATGTTTACCATGCTGCAAACGAGATTAGGCAAATTGATTTGGATCATCTCCATTTTGTCTTTTGTTTAGGGAAGCCAAGTTTGAAACAGCTATTAAAAATAGCTATGCCATCATATAAATCCTTGTGGCCAATAATCTAGAGAAACATCCCAGAGCTTATTACAAACTCTTTACATTTCAGAAGCCCTGGCAGCAGCTACCCTACAAACACAGTTTTAATCTACCAATCTCAGCGATGCAGAGATAACCTTCATCCCGACCCACAGGATCAGAAGGTGCTGTGATACAGATTTATCTCGGGATGGAGGTCTGCCACTCATGCACTGATTTCAGTTCAGAGATATCAGAACCATCAGCCTTTTCTCATCAAGTTTAAAAGGCTGAAGACTTGAGATCTCAAAGAAGATAGAGATTGAATTCCAACATCCCCAGCCATGCTCACTTCTTCTGCCCTTCCTTTTCCCGCTAAGCCATGCAGTTATCCCCTCATTTTCCCATTTTTTTCAGGTACTGGGTTTTCCTTCTCCACTGGACAGGACCTTTTGAAATAGGTCAGTACTCGATTTCCACACAAGTCCAGAGGTCAGCTCTGCCCACAGAAAAGCCATTTTTGCTAGGAAAACGCACGGTTTGTGCCCTGATGCTCAGAGCTCGCAGGCAGAAGGTGCCCAGGCTCCCACCCCCTGCACTCCAGCCTGGGCCCAGCACAGAGCAGAACTCACCATGATCTGGATCTCTCTCTTGCAGACCTGCAGGTCGTACTCGTTATTGACGTACATCCTCTTCAGGGCACACTTCACCCCATTGCTCGTCCTCACCAGGAACACGATTGCAAAGCCACCTATGGGACACAAAATCACCTGGTCATTGGCAAGAAACCTCTTTGCCCCCAACCCTGGCCCTGCCAGGGGAGCACAGCTGGGACAGGGAGGCACTGAGCAGCTCCCACCCCTCCCAGTGGGAATTCTCCTTCCCGTGCCCCTCTCCAGAGCTCCCAGCTCTGCCTGGACAGTTATCCCCAGGAACTCAAAGGGATCCAAGGTGGTAATCTTCAATTAATGGCAATGAAGTTAACACTTAACATCTCCATAAAAACAAGCAATTACACCAGTTCCTGGTCCTGCCAGACAGTTCCTCATTGCTCCATTAATTCCCATTATGAAGAAGAAAGCTGGAGGAAGGCAATGCTGCCTTGGACAGAAATCAGAGCTACAGATCACCCACTGAACCACCAAAGGCCTAAACTTAAAAGGCTCTGCAACTTTGAAGCTTAAGTTGCATTACAAAGCTGATTTGTGCAAGAAGCAGAAGAAACATCTCCACATGCGGTTTGATGTTAATGCTTTTAAATCAGGACAGAAGAACAAGAGAAAAACCCACAATTCATTCTGTGATCATTGCTATTAGTAAAGTCAGGATTCCCAGGATAAATGGACTTGTTTCAGATGAAAGCCTTTCATCTCTGTCAGCTCTCCATCCAAACACACAGGTTCACATTTGCAGTCCTGGCAGAAATAGGAAGCTGATGGAGGATGGAGGGGTAGAGGCAGCAAAAGTTTCACACTTGGCTCTCCCTGGTTGTTTTCAATAGCTTTTATGACATTACAGTTCCTCTTCCACTTCAACACAGGGAACTCACCTGCCAGCAAGGGAACTGCCCAGCAGGAATCCCTCCTGGTAGGCAAACCCCTCAGCTTTATTCAGCACAATCTGCCTCAGGAACCAGAGCAGGCTTTCCAAGGAAGCCCCACTGTCTCTTAGAAGCAGCCCCAGCAGAAAGATGGGACAGAAAGAAGAAACAAAACAAAACAAAAAAAACACCACTCCTCCTCCCTTCCCCCCCCCCCCACAAAAAAAAAAAAAAAAATAAGCATCAAGACTTCAATTAAAGGTCTTGAAAACTATAGCCAGGCTGCAAAATGGACACTCAAATTGAGAGAAGTGGGCCATGGCCCTGGGATGCAGCACGTCACAGCTGCTCAAACCCCCTCGCAGCTCTGGAGGGGCCTCCGTGCACAGCGCTGCATTCAGACCCAAAAATAACCCTGACTCTCCCTGAAGCTGCTGCAAGTTGAGGATCTCAAATTACAAGTCATCTTTAAGAGCTTCTGAACCCACAGCAGTAGCCGTATTGTTCTCCCCAGCCACATCTGTCTCGTTTTTGGAGAACAAATCTGCACATCCCGCTGTGAATCTTCATCCCAAAGGGTGGCTGTGGAAAAGAGTAACACAGCAGTGCACTGATTCTTCTTCCCCCTCATAACCCACAACGGAGCCAGGAAGAAATAAGGAACCACAACCAACACAATTTTCCCAAACCTTACTTTGCTAACAGCCTATATTTTTCAGAATAATTGGAGAGATCAGGTTTGGAATCCCTTTTTTTTTTTTTTTTAATTTCTGTACAGTATTTCCATAGATCTCAGAAAAATACTAGAGAAAAAGTGTTTTTTAAAATTTTAAAAAACAAACAAAACCCCAAAGAGTTGGTTTTTCAAAGTTTATTACAGTCTCAGCCATCCTCAAAACTTTTTGGTAATCACAAGACTTTTGGGTTTTCCTGCCCCCCCAAAATGAGCAGTCACCCAGGAGAAGTCTCTGCTCCACCCCAAGGGCTCAGTTCCCTTTTCCCAGCTCTGGCCAGGCCAGCAGGATATGGGATCTCTGTTTACAGTGCTGTGCTCAGCAGAAAGAAACACGAGCTGAGCAGCAAAAATTGGTCAATTAAACTTTTTTTTTTTTTTTTTTTAAAGCAGCTTCACTAAGCTCAAGAACCTCCTCCTGCTCCCAACCTTTGCTTCAGCTGAGTGGGACTGGAGCCTCTTCAGACCAACTGCTAATGCCTCATTCACAGGTCCCTTCCCTCTACCAGGATCCTGGGCTAATTAATTAACGAAGTCACCTCCAGAGCAGCCTCATTAGAACATGCACATCATGCACAAGCCAGCTGGCACAGAAAACTACAGTCTGTGCAAGGGAGAACACAGATAAAGCACCCCAAGCTCAGGGGAAAGAGACCTCCCAGATGCCCAAAATGGTCAGCATCATGCTGAAAACCACAGCCTTCCTCATCTTTTAACTGCTGACAGCTGCTTAACCCTTCCTCCTGCCCCTGCACATCTACACCACCTCCTCCTCTGCCTCAAGGGCTCTCAGCTTCCAGAGCTCCAGACCACAACCAATTTCTCCCTCCTAATTCCAGTCCAACCCCCAACTCGGCTCAATCTGGGTGAAGTTGAAAGGAAACAGATCAAAGACAAATTTACGAGCAATTATGATGAAGCCCTGCCAGATGCACATTACGGGACCATTTACAGAGAACAGCAAGACAAGAGCCTGGCACTGCCAGCTCCACCATAAAGATGTTCATCCCGGGATCTGAGCAGCTCGGGAGCTGTGCTACACGTGCCCAGGAGCGTGGGTCACACACAGGCACAGCTCAGGCACAGTGTTCCAGGCCCCAGGAACATCCCCGGATCTCTGCTGGTAAAGCCTCTGTTCCAGTTCACGCCTGGAAAGCAAAGGCACGAGACCAGGGCAGGCTTCAGCTGCAACAGAATAAATAAATCCAGAGACTTGCAAGTGCCAGGAGGGACAAGAGCAAGAGCTAAGCCTGAGAGTCACCTCATAAGCCAGTTCTCCCCGGCACACATGCCTCTGATTTAAGGTTCTGAAGGAAATTCAACTCTCTTCCCACATCAGCCAGCAAAAGCTAAAACCCCTTCCCATTCTAAAACGTGAGAAGTTATTTCTGTGCTCACCCTTAAGACATGTTAATATTGCTGAGCAGCCAGCACTGGGATCACAGTCAGCTCAGAGCCACCACCAGCTACAGGGGTTTCTCTGGGGAAACTTTTTTTGTGTCTCTTTGGAAGTTAGGCCTGCCTGAACTGCATGGAAACATGGTTATCATGCTGCACACTGCTGCCTGACTGTTGTTCTTGCTAAAAGGTTTTAGGATAAGCTGAAAAAATACTGGGAAGTTCCAATTATCTCCAGTCAATACAGATGCCAAAGCAATTTTCCATGCAGGTTTGTGTCAGGGCACTGGCCAGCTGCCAGCTCTGGTAGTTATGTTTTCAGCCCTTCTGTAATTTCAGCAGGACGCACAACTCCTCACAGCCAGGCAAGTACTCCTGAACTAGGTAAGAGCAGCTGCAGGTGACCCCCCCAGCTCCTCCGAGGTAAGGAGATAGCTGTGCTGAGCTCAAGGGATTCATGTTGGACTGCAGGAATCCTCCTGCATTGCTCTGCACGGAATTTGCCCCAGCTGAGCCCCTCACTCTCTGCATGCAGACAGCCCCCTGTGCTTCAGCACTGCAGCTGAGGGGCAGCCAAGCGCTGCTCAGAGGTCCCCAAAACTGCCCTGGGAACATTCAGCCTCCAGGGACAGCCAGAGAGGCATTTTAAGCTCCAGCTGTACCAGCAAGCACTTAAAATTAAGTGCTCTGCTGAACCAGACACAAAGCCACTCCATTTGCACAATTCCAATACTCACTGATCCTTATCCATCAAGAATTATGTCATATTTTGCCTTATCTCACCAGCCAGAAGAACTTCCTTAGCACTTACCTTCCTAAGTACAAGGGCAGGCTCACTCAGGTTTTGTTTTCTTCCCCACAGTCAGGATGCTGTGATCCAGCTACAGGAAACCCACAGTGAGTCCCTTGCACGGGCTGTTTCCAGCTCACCATTCCCAAAGCTCTACTGAAACACAGTAACGTGGTTTTCCCCCAGTCACAGCCACAAGCAGCTGTCACACAGACACTGCACATTACCAACACTGGACATCCTCACCTGGCAACACCAGAACCATTTTCTCTCTGCTGTTGTCCTGAGGAAGCCATCCTGCACCTCTGGCTCCTCTAACTGGAGCAACATTCAAAAAAAAGAAGAGTTTTTCCCCAAGGCGTATATGTACAACAGTCACTCCTTTCAACCCAAACTATTCTGTGATGTGATTCTTGATCCTAAGGCACCAATGTTTTTGGGCATCTCTTCTGGAGACTCAGGTGCCCTGGGATCCTGTCTCCTGAGCAGCTGGAGCTGCAGAGAGCCCACAAACACCTTCCTGTGACTGCTGCAAGTGCCACTGGGACCCCACCAGGAGTCTGGAGGAGACTCCCCAGCAGCTCCTGTAAAAAGCACCACACTGTCCCACAAACCCAGCCAAGGACAGCAGTCCTACTGATCCTGCTCGTGCCACCATCTGCTGTGACCCTCCCCACGAGTAAATATTTGCTGGTGTATTTTAATATGGGGTTTTTTTTCAATAATAGCTCCCCATGATTTGCATTAGGATTACAGAGCTATTTTTGTGGCTATTAATCTGCAGCAATGTATTCTTTCTGCTGCCTTTATTCCACTCTTCCATTGCCCAGCAGGAGGGTATTGCTGCACATACCTGCTGAAAACACACCATTTCAAATCGCATTTTCCCCATTTTTATGCCACTTCCGAGCCCTTTGTTTCCAGGACAGGGTATTTCACTCCAAATTAAGCTTTCTGTTCCAGCATTATTCCTTGTTATAACTAAATGTGCCCACAAACCAGAGGCAGCACTGTGAAGTGTTCTACTGTGATACATAACAAGGGGTTGGGATGAACAGGAGCACTGCACATTGCTTTTTCTGCTTTATAAAGCATCAGCAACACCTTTAAAGTCACAGTGTGTCAGCATTAACATCCTTACAGAAAAATACAACTGCCTCATTTTGTTTTGAAAATAATTTGGGGCATAATTCAGAAGGCACAGTAATGAGGCAGACTTTGCATTAGGGCTGTAATATCCAAGATGATGAAAATACCAAAGGAAGTGAAGACAACACTGGTACAACCCAC